CTTTGTACATTTTGAGGAAACAGTAAAAGGTCTATATGTAGCAGAAAGCTTCAGCATGTCAAGCATATGAGCATGTTAACACTACAGATATCATTTACTCCTGCTCATGCCATTTGAAACCAGTATAATTCTCTGTCTTCTGTGTAACCTTAAACGAGATATTTTGCCTAATGTCTAAGCTGCTTATTTATTTACAGTGGACTGTCAAGCTTTAGACAATACAAAAAAAAGCATAAACATAGTCCATATGAATCATTCACATTATTTGAAGTATTCTGAAGCCATATTATAGATTTCTGTGAGAAACAGACTGACATTTAACTTGTTATTTGCTTAAAGTCCTCACTCCTCTGTTGCTCTCAAATCACATTTACACCTGTACACCTTCAAGACACAGCAACTTTGAATTTATATTTGAAGGTATTTCGCAACATGATACAGAGGAGAGGGAAATAAAAAATATTAGCCACACTCAAACTCAGGTTGCCTCTATAACCACATTTCTGATTTTGATTGTGCTTTTCTTGTCCTTTTTGATTGGCATTCAATTTGCATCATGCTGAAAAGAGCATCATGGACATTCTGTAAAACCGCTTTTTTAAATGAACTAGTAAATTAAATGAAAATTAATCGAGACCAGGGCGTCACTAGACCCATTTTACTGGGGCACGAGTGCCAGTAAAACAGTGGCACTGTTTAAAAAATGTACCTTATACTGATCTGAGAATAATTTTCTCTGATAATACTTCAAAAAATCATGCTGTCCGTGTTTTCTATCCGTTGTTTAGAATCAGAACTAAATGCCACATTTGTGAATAAATCACTAATTTGATCTAATCTTATAAGGTTTACAAAAAGGTCTAAATTAGTTTGTGATTCAGTTTGATTCATTTGGACAGTTTCCTCCCACTGAATCATTTTCAGTGATTTCTCACTCTGAAATAGCAACAATATATTTTATAAAACAAAAACAAAAAAGTAATGGATAAGATATTTACCCACAATCCATTGTAGGAAACGAAACCTGCAAATGTCTTTTAACATTTGTCAGCAATGAAGCAGCTTGACTGCAAAGCCAATTTATATTTATATCCATAACAATATCCAAAGAGAAAATAAAATATATGGGGACACTTTTATGATGGGGGCTACAAACCGCCCTTATTGTGCAAAGATATCAAACGTCACAACGCTACAAACTCTGGATACACAAAAGTGTGTGGTGTCTATGAAACGGGTCAAATGTATGTTTGCACCTTCAACACTGATTCCCCTTTTGCACACATTAGGAGAGTGCTGGTAGGGGGATCACCAAAAGATCACATGGTTCCACCGGTGAAAGAAACCTAAAACCAACACCTTCTGCGTCCAAGAACATGTGATGCCCAGTACTCGCTCATAGAGACGAAACACACTCTAGACAACACATCTTCTAATTCAACTAAATCCACACCAAATACCTAGTAGTCTATGTCACTGAAAGACACCATGGATAGTTGCTCCATCCATATACCCAAGATGGTATCACATACATGATGGTGTAACCGTTTAACTCCAAGCAACCACATCCCATCTAGTCTGAGCTAATGTTATGAAACTAACCAGGGAAACTCACAAGGTCCATCCTCATGTCTCAATCTTGCCCTTAAATTTAGCAAGCTGGCACCTCTGTGAAACAGTGCTATCTACATGAGACAAAGTCGACTTCCTGCAGGAACCTCTGTGAAAGGCAAGAGCATAAAACTGAAGGAGGGTTAAACAAAATCCGATCGGAGTGCTTTTGACAAGAATCTCGGGACCAACAGTCCAAGAGTCTCCATCATCCTACACCTCTGATCAGGGCAACATGGATTAACAGTGGAGGAATGGTGGGGTACAACTGAGCACTACGAGCATCATCAGCCGAGCCCTGAAATGAAGACACGCGCTATATTTAACTCTGACTCCATATGCTGTTGGGATGGGAAAAAGAGTACGACTACACAGTCAGCATCTGCTAGAACAATAGACCTGACACATTAGACATAAAGAAAAGTTTTGTGTGTTCACATTTACATATATGGAAGTGTGAATGAGAGAAAATGAGCATGAGAGTGATAAAGAGCAAGATTGGGAAATGAGGCAACTGGCAATCTCTTTCAGAAATAATGTACAGTATTTGAAAAATAATGTGTTTTTTGAACATTAAAGCATGTCAACATATTCTGTTACACCAAATACACAAAATAATGATCTTTAAAAAATACCCTTTAAAGGATAAAATACATTATACCTTTTACACAAATGCGTACAAAAAATAAAGAAATAGACATGAATATTGAACTGAGTTTCAATATTAATTTTTTATTTTTGAATTATTTTATTGTTTTAAAAGATTTTGGGACATGAATCTAGCGCAGCTGTAGGAAACAGTTTGCCTGAGACTTTGGTCAATTATACAATTAGTGGTCATTATACAAAACTATCTGCCAGCAGAATGCCACGACTGACCAATCAGAATCAAGTATTTTAGAGAGAAATACTTTCAAACCTTTCTCACTTCCCATCTCTAATGATTTTGATCAGTTCTGCTAAACTGTTGGACATTTTTACATGCAGTGTTACCCAAAGCTTAAATTATGACAAAGTAATATTCATCACAATTTTGAACCATAAATTCTCAACATTCTATTTTATATTCTATCCTATTCAAATCAAGCTAGAAACTTCTGTCAAGACATGGTTAACAGAATATGAAATCAGCAGTGAAATCAAAACCATTGGGGGCCAAAATGAATCCTGCAGCTTTCCAGATACACACACAGCATTGCCCTCAACCGACTGACCTATACATCATGCAGTGCTCTAGATCACATACCTGTCACAGTGAGGTAAATATTTCCACAAAACCTTCAGTCTTTGGTCTACCTTCCAGCTGAAGTCTGTCTCTCTTACCCGGGGCCAGCGCGAGCTCCAGGACAGCTGTTGCTGACGCATAAACGTCTTGAATGAAACCTGAGATTGAGCCGCAGGTATAGAGGATCATCACGAGAGTTCTGAAACATTAAAACGCTATTTCTACTCTATCTTTCCTGGGCAGATGCTTTTATGCGTTGTTTTACTGTATAACGTTAATAATGTCTGTGTCGCCTTTGGAGAAGGATTTTACCCACAGCAGCATTTAAAGGTTTTATTCTGTAGTTGGTATATGAATGAGTAGGCTATATAAACAGTTTGTCTTCCTTATTTGTAAAATAAATATAACGAAAATAACCTGTACCGTTGAATATCGCACAAATATTCAGACAGTATACGCCTCGCGAATGGGAAAGAGTTCACACGTTCAAACGAGTTTGACCGTTAGTTTGATAAAAGGCGCGAAAACCTCTCAAAAAAATAATCGATTAACGCGATTAAGGTTTAATTAAAATTGCTATTGAATTTAAAATTGAACTAATAATTGGAGGGGTGTATTAGTAGCCCGTTGTAATTATATATTTTTTGACATGCTAAATAATTTGTCATGAATAAAATATTAAAATAGGGTGTTTTAAGCTTCAGGCCCTTTAATATGCTATTTTATATTCACACACAAAGCATATTTTTATATAAAACAAATATATAAATCTCTCTCTCTCTCTCTCACACACACACACACACACACCCCGACCATTTAAAGTAGATCAGGCAGCTGAACAGAAATTTAATATACTGATTACTCCCACTGATAATGTTGCAGATGCTTCTTGGAAGGGATGAAGAATTATCGCTGAACTGCACATGCATAACAACAACAACAAAAAAAAGAAATTACTGAAATATTCACATAATGATTTGCACACTGTTTAATACTGAATGTTTAATATTTCCAGCATGTTACTGAACATACTGACTGAAAAGGAGCTCATGTTTGAAAACTGATATTGATGATGTAATGCATCACATTGAATGTTGAACATGTAGCGCCATCCTCTGGTGTCACAAAAAAGGAAGCAAAATTCAGCATTATTTTCAATTCTATTGAAATATTTAGAACGTTTTTATTATTGTATTAATACTTATATAATACTTATTGTATTAAGTATTAAAGACATATTAAAGAACATTTAATATTAACAGTTGTAAAGTACAAACCAAATAAGATATTAACATCTTTAAACGTGCCAAAATACTTTACCACAGGTAAGACAAATGTGGGGAAAAAAATAAATACAGTGGCACCCAAAAAGTTTTTGGACACAAATCACACTTAAAGGGGTCATATGATGCGATTTCAATTTTTCCTTTCTCTTTGAAGTGTTACAAGCTCTTGGTGCATAAAGAAGATCTGTAAAGTTGCAAAGACTAAAGTCTCAAATCCAAAGAGATATTCTTTATAAAAGTTCAGAGTCAGCCACACCTACCTAAAACGGCTCGTTCTAACACGCCCCCACATATCTACATCACTGTGTGGGAAGATTAACATAACGCCGACCAAATGATCACGCAAAGAAAGAAGGCGTAACTTTTATTCTTGTCTTGTTGCTCCGGCCGGACAGGGCATCACAGTATGGTAGGGGCATAACATTTCCATCACACGCTTGAGGTATTCGGCCAATCACAATGCACTAGATAGCTGGCCAATCACAGCACACCTCGCTTTCCAGACCGATGAGCTTTGTAAAAATTGACGTGTTTCAGAAAGGCGGGGCATAGAGGAGAAACAATAATGTGTTTTTTGAACCTTAAACCGCATAAACAGTTCATTACACCAAATACACAAAATAATGTTCTTTTTTAGCAATGTCATATGACCCCTTTAAATATGTATGGTATGGATGTCATTGCATCAGAAAAAATATCAAACTAAGTGCCAAATATAAACCAAGTGCCATTTCTCACACCTAACTTTCACCTATATTAACTTTCTTTTGTTTTTACACAAAACTTACAGCCATGTAAAAAAAAAAAAGTGATGTGTGAGAATATTAACACAGTTATCATCACAGTGTTAGATAATGTGCAGTTGTGTTAAAACAAGTTTATGCAGTGAAGTCCTGGGTTGCCATTTGGAAAGTGTTGTTGTCAGTTCGGAACTTATACTTCCCAATCTCTTTTCTTATTTCATTCTGCACCTAAAACAAAACAAAAAAAATTAATTACTGATAAGGTCATACAATGCTTCTTTATATGTCCATATGCTATTAAAATGTATTAGATCTTACCTCACAGATCAAGAAGCAATATAACAATGCCACAATGAAACCCTTCAAAGAAATGCCATAATTAATATTTTGACATTTGCAGTAGCATAAAGTCAAGTTTTTGAGAGTTTATGGATTTGTTTTAATACAGGGGTGGCAAAACTCTGCAGGACTGTTGCTCTCCAGGACCGATGTTGACCACCCCTGTTTTAGTACTTGATTAGTATATTTCAGCATTTTGCTGAAAAATTTAAATTATTCAAAGGGGTCATATGATGCGATTTCAATTTATCGTTTCTCTTTGGAGTGTTACAAGCTCTTGGTGCATAAAGAAGATCTGTAAAGTTGCAAAGACTAAAGTCTGAAATCCAAAGAGATATTCTTTATAAAAGTTAAGAGTCAGCCACGCCTACCTAAAACGGCTCGTTCTAACACGCCCCCACGTCTACGTCACGATGTGGGAAGATTTGCATAACGTCGCCCAAATGTTCACGCAAAGAAAGAAGGCGTAACTTTTATTCTCGCTGTAGTATTGTTGTTGCCGCCGCCGCCATGTCGTGAAGGCGCTGCGTGTTTCGTTGTGAAAGCGAAACTACTTTGTTTGGTCTTCCAAAAGAGGACGATATCCGCTTCGTCATGCCTGGAGCTGATCCGTGCTGGTCGCTGAGGAAATGCATCAACTTCGCGCTGTGGATCGCCGGATCGGCTTTCACCGTGGACGAAGCGGAGTCCAGCCCTGGGTCGTCACATGTGGTTGCCGCAAGCCCGCCGGCCGTTCCTTCGTCGAATCCGCCAGCCGCGCTGTTCTGAAGCCCACCAGCCGCCGCTCACTCTAGGCCGCCCGCCGCCGCTCACTCTAGCCCGCCGTGTGTTTCGTTGTGAAAGCGAAACTACTTTGTTTGGCGAATGTACCCAAATACATTAATTTATAACAAAACTATTGTTTTATAGATGATGTGAGGTAGAAAGAGCTCTTTAAGGTAAGAACTGCAGGTTACCACTTTTTATAGTGTACCAATCCATAGCCACAGTGTTTTCAGGCAAATGCTACAAATGCCTTAACTGTAGTTTTCACTGCATATTAAAATGGGATAGGAGAAAATATTTTAACAGCAAGTAAATAAATTTACAATAATATATTAATATATTGAATGAATGAATGAATGAATGAATGAATCAATGAATAAATAAATAAAAGATTTAAAAAAAACAGCCCGTCTTAATCAGACAGGTACTGTATTTTTCATAAACGTACAAATACAGAGAGCAAAATGGGAATTTTGATGATCCACCAATAGCCACTGTCCAGGTCATCCCAGCACCTACCAACACATAAAAACACTTGTTTATGATACATGCCTGCACATTTATACATTTTCTGTAACTGTTAGCTCCAGGTCTCATTACTGTGCTTCCCATATGTAGTAATTGTCCAAATGCACTGCACAGAAATCTCATTCTCACCCATGATTATCATATTTATGTTTGAAGAATGTCCAGATTATTACTGTGACAGATGGTACCCCTGTAATACAGAGAAAACAATCTATGGGCATTTAAGAATAAGTTATATAATCAGCAGTTTGTGTGTAAAATATACTTGATGTAAATGTAAAATGTGGTTTTACCCCAGCCAATAAGAATATAGCACCAGAAAAATGTTCTTGTGTGGGTGAAGGTGAATGCTAGCAGTGTCTGAAGATAAAGTCCCTCAATGAGCAGCCAGTAGAAATTTGATAACACACAGTACTGGAAAAATGTCACCACAGCCTTGCACAAAACCTGGCAGATGAAATATAGCATTCAGTTACAAAGGGGCAGATGATCACTTTAAAATATATGATTCATGCTATGGCATTTTTTTTTATGTTGATCTTATCTTTCTTTGGTGTAACGTACCGTGGAGACTGTGCAGTGATTGACAGTCTCATCCGCGAATAACACTGCATCCTTTACAAACACAGCCAAAGCCCTCAGGATGAATGAGGAGAAGAGGTTGAGGTGGATGTAGGTCCGTGTACACAGAAGCTTCCTGTGGGGTTAATGAAAATCTGGCAATATTATATGACATCAGCATTCATTGATGCAAATGTCAAAAAAAGGTCACCACAATTGTGTTCCTGCATGCATCATAACAATTAATTAGTAAAGGCATTGAAGCAAGAAGTGAAAGCGGTACCTAAAGATGCAGAAGATGAAGACTGCAATGCAGAGAGAGCCAATGGACACGCCATACCCAACAGTGTATATCAACTTCACCCTGGCAAAGTACTCTCGCTGCCACAGTAAAATGGAAAATATCAAGTTTAGATACCATTCGATTCATCTTGAGTCAATTTTATTCAATAAAATTAAAGGTGAAGTGTGTGATTTTTTCATGACTTAAATTCTTCCTGTAACATAATTGCTTTAAAGGGTTAGTTCACCCAAAAATGAAAATTAGGCTGTGTTTTACTCACCCCAGAGTCATCCTAGGTGTATATGACTTTCTTCTTTCAGACAAATCCAGTCGGAGTTATATTAAAAATTGTCCTGGCTATTCTAAGCTCTATCATTGCAGTCAGCGGGTGTTGCAGTTGTGAGACACTTTTTTTTATGGATGGGCGCTTTTTATTTCACTTCTTTTGGACTGAAGCACTGCAACACCCGCTGACTGCAAGGATAGAGCTTGGAATAGCCAGGACAATTTTTAATCTAACTCTGACTGGATTCGTCTGAAAGAAGAAAGTCATATACACCTAGGATACCTCGGGGGTGAGTAAAACACAGCCTAATTTTCATTTTTGGGTGAACTAACCCTTTAAGGTTTGAGTTTGAACATGGAGCACCATCTTTTGGTGTCAAATATTTGTTGTTTTAATTCTATTTTAATATTAACAGATAATTAAATAAAGTTAAGTATAGGATATTACAATTTGTCAATATGCCAAAACACTTTTGCCACAGGTTAAACACAAAACATTTGACAAATGTGTAAAAAGTATACAATGGACCCCAAAAAGTGTTTTGATGCAAATGCATTGCATAAAATTTTGTATGAATGTCGGTGCATCAGATAAAATATCAAAACATGTGGCAAAATATAAACCGAGAGGCATTTCTTACACCTCATTTTTTATTTTATTTTTTTTTAAAAAGCCATTTGGACAAAGTGGAAGTTTCAGGAAACCTGTTTGATAACAGATCATTTTTACATTTGGTAACACTGGTGGTGCAAAAATTACACTCTTCACTTCTGACAGTACAATAACACTCTGCAAGAACCTAGAACCGATCCAGAAACACAGTAATCCATAGCATTCAGTTAATTGCACATAATATCAAATATGGAGTTCTTCAAAGTTGTTTACTGTGTGACCAGTCTCTTCCTGCTCTGTGCTGTTTTCCTGAAAGCAGGCATTGTAATAAGACACACTCAGCCTACTCCATCCCTCACTAGTGCAGATGCGGGTGATCAGCTCTAAAGAAGTCAATCAAAAACACTTATTTTACATTTATGACATACTGTAGCATTGAACTTTTATGGCCTTGTTTGCAAAACGAGTAGGAATTATTATGTTACAATGGTGTTGCTTTTGAAGTTACCATGGGACTTGAGGAGAGGAGGTGGGCAAGACACTGAGACTCTCTCTCCTACACTGACCGCAGGCCAGCAGTTCACACCATCCCACTCAACCAGACAACCTGAAGACATCCACAGTGGTACAATTAAAGATTACAGAAGTCTACTTCTTCATCAAACTATCAATTACAATAAATTGACTCTTATCATCAGGCATGCCACCTTTATTTATATAGCACTTTATACAATAGAGATTGTTTCAAAGCAGCGTTACTGTATTTAACAAGGAAGTAACACAATCAGTGATGCATCAGATATATGACAAATCAAAATTCTGCTGTAAAGCCGCTATAAGAAGACAACAGTGTCATTATTCAGCTCGAGTCAAAAGTACATGTTTTCCTGTGAACTCCTGTAACTGTTAATGCTAATAAATTATGCATGTAGTCTTATAAACGATGTATGTCTTAACATATCTTATACAGTAGTTCCGTACAGATGTCAGATAATTAAAACAATAAATAAATAAATTCCAATGAAAGTGAATGGACAATGACAGTAATTAATGGAGTAATTAATGATTTGAATTTTGGTCTGTTCTTAACTTTAAACGTACTACTTTTATGTTTTTCTTTTGTTTGTTTTTTTCATTGTCAGTGAACTATCCCTTTGACAATGCAGGTCACATTTTAGTCTTTTATAAGACTCAGTATTTAAATATGCCTATAAATGAGGACAATTTATGTCTTAGAGCTTTATATTTAGTCATTCCTATATTTGCATTTTATTTGCAAATTAAAGAGATAGTTTAAAAATACAAATTCTGTAATCATTTACCCACCGTCATGTCATTCCAAACCTGTATGTCTGTATGACTTTCTCTCTTCTGCTGATCACAGAAAATATATATTCTGTAGAATGTTGGTAACCAACCATTTTGGATACTACTGACTTCTATTGTATGGATAAAAAATTGAGACATTTCACAAATCATCTTCATGTTTCAAAGAAGAAGGAGAAACATACAAGCTTGGAATGACGCCAGTGTGAGTAAAAGGTGACAGAATTTTCATTTTTGGATAATCTATCCTTTTAAAGTATCAAATTAAAGATTCAAGATTATGGGTTGACATCTTGACGAAATGTAATTTCTCAGGTTTTGAGTATCAGTGCTTATCTGTGACTAAGCTCACCTGTATTGGTAGCATTATAGTTGAACAAAGACTGTGTTAAACCAATTCGGAGCTGACATTCAGCTTCTTTTTCTTGTAGATGCAATACTATAGAACATTCAGGATGAACTGTCTTCATCTGAAAAACATGTAAGTGCATGCACACTATAAGAACTTCCCAAGAAACATCAATCTTTTGAATAACCTTTTTTGCATATCTTATTTAATAGTTGCTTTTTCAATGAAAAAGGTACCAGCATCCAAAAACATGCACATAACCTACCCCTTCACATGTAACCATAAGAGTCCAGATGACGAAGCCATCAATAAGGTCCATGATGTTTCTTCTTACAGTTATGTGGTAAAGTCACAGGTGTAAATATTTCCCGGTCTAAAGCATGTAGGTTAGTTAGTTATGTTGACCAACATAAAGTGTAGCTCTATTGCCTTTTGTTTTTGTCAGTACACAAATACCCCAGTGCTCATTCACAGTAATTCTCATCTATCTCTCCAACCGATTTAATGCAGCAGATGGTGAGATGTCACTGATGGTACAGCCCATTTTTCAGGGTGTGCAGGGCCCTTCTCACGTCACGCCGGTAAAGTGTCATTGTTACTGGTTTTAAACCAATTTTATAATAGTTTCCGAAATAAGGTTTCTTTACTTTATACAATAACAACATTGTGCCTCTAAAAGAATCTTGATTTTGAAATGATGACCTACTGTATATTTGTTAATATCGAAAATGGGCAGTTTTTTTTATTTTTTTATTTGTTATACCTTTGCATACAAGGCATTCATTCGTCTTCTACCTGCCTGCTTCATCACACTAGGGAGGTTAAATGAGTCTTTTATCCAGCACTATTTACTGCATGAGTGAACTTAAATCACTTTTTCTGAGTTAAAAGGATGACATTACTTCAGAGGTATGCAAATGATAAAATCCCTCCAAACCATAGAATGTTTTTTTTTGTAATTAAACAGATTTTGAAAAGACATTTATTATTTTAATGCAGCTTATTGTGTATTTTACAGGGTTTTGGAATTAGCCGTTTATTTTTCCTGTAATTAAGAGGACAGTAGTAATGTTTATTCTGTATGGTGCAGATGGAGCATGCCACACCGTCCATCCATTTTTAAAGCGTGTCCTTCCCCTAAGGAGCTGAGGTTGGTGTAGACTGAAAGCAGACAATCTTGAGCAGAGCGATACTTTCATACAATATTCAGAGGTGTTTGAAGGGAGGAAAGTGAGAATTTGAAAATGACTAAATGAATGTGTGAATATAATAGAAACTACTGAGGCCACAATTTGTTTGAAGATATTTACTGACAGTGATTGATTAAGAGTCTAGGGGTTTCTTCAACTTCAGGCACTTTTATGTGCCACAGGATGATTTTTATTAAAACTATCTGATGTTTTTGCTATATAAACAATCTTACCCCTATTTAAATTTCTGTATTTTTGTGGTTTCGGTGCAATTGGTGGGATGAACAGCACACAACCTGTTTGAACAGCATACTGTATCTCACTCTTGTGCATCAGCTGGGTTTATACAGATGAGTAAGTAAACCTCTCGCATTATCAGCAAGATGTTTATGATTTGACATTATAAAGAGGGATCCTGAATATAACATATATTCACATATGTTCCGGATGTTATGCTTTGTAGATTACTTTGTCAATGACTGTTTGTATGTTTTGTGATAGTTGTATGTGAATGCATTGTCCTGAGTAGGGAAGTCCCTACTAAATGTCCTGCATGTTTGAGCTTTTCCCAACAGTGGCTATATGATGTGGAGCTCCAGCTTTTCACACTTATAGTCAAGTCAAGTCAAGTCAAGTCACCTTTATTTATATAGCGCTTTTAACAATACAGATTGTGTCAAAGCAACTGAACAGCATTAATTAGGAAAATAGTGTGTCATTAATGCAAAATGACAATAGTAAACACCCAATTTTCAGTTAAAGGCAGTTCATCATTGAATTCAGTGATGTCAGGCTCAGTCGGGGGGCCAGTTCTCCTCTGGCCAGACGAAACCAGCAGTTCAATTCCAGGCTGCAGCAAAGTCACATTGTGCAGAGGACTCAATTGGCTCCTGTGGTCTTGTCCCGGTGGCCGTCTGAGACAAGGTCTTTACTGGCGATCTGTATCTGGGGCTCATCTAGTTGTCCTGGTCTCTGCTGACTTTCAGGGCTGTAGAGGTCCTCTCTGGGTGCTGATCCAACATCTGGTCTGGATACGTACTGGATCCGGGTGACTTCAGTGACCATCTGATCTGGATACAGACTGGATACAATTGAGGGATTCGTGTATAACTACTACAAGCGTACTGTATGACTATGGCATACGTTTTGTCTGGTATTTCTGGCATTTTTCATGTAAATTGTTTGCAGGTGTGTCTTGTTTTGTTTTGTAGGTTCATTATAGAGCAGGGTTTCTCATTCTGGTTTTTCCGGGGGCTTTTTTGTGTAGAGTGTTTTTTCAAAGTATGTCAGTCAACAAATTAATGTCTGCAAGATTCATTAAAAATTACAGCCAGAAGCAAAGGCAGAAGCAGGAACTGAAGCCGCTGTCTTCTAGAACGGTCTTCTGGAGCTATACCATATCTTTGTTTTATAGGTGCAAAGTGCCAAATTGCCGGAAATCTTTCCCCTCAATGAAAGCAGTCACATTTTATTAAAAAGATAAACCTGGACTGACTTGAAACAAGAGCGAATCACATTTTGCATCTATTCCTCAGACAAAGCGATCATTTAGCCTCTAATGACATTTATGATCATAACTTTTGATGCCCTTCACATCAGTTTTTATGTCTGAGTTTTCTCATTGAAAGCAATTGACTTGCTGCTAAATAAAGTTGCTTAAAGAGACTTCTGTAGTTTATAGGCCTCCTGCACATGCTGTGGTATTGGATGCATTAAAGTGAGAATGGGTTTAAATATATATATATATATATATGGCTTGAGGATTGCCAGTCAAGAGTTGATGCCTGTGTGAGCCTGATATCTGCTTTGTGGAATTTTGACTATCTGAGAAATTAGCAACTGTAATTACTGCTAAAGGATTGTGTACACAGTAATAATGACACTGTGGATCCTTTTCTGAGAAATCAAACCTCTTTTTATATGAACACTGCTTTTGTATCGCAGGTATCTCATAAAGCTAAGTCATAAGTGGTCATTGTACCTTAGATTGTACCTGCTGGGTGTATAAAATATATATAAAAAGTATAGGCCTAATGAAGAGAGGTCTATAGAGAGAGAAACACCTATAGGCCTATAGAAAGAGATCGTTCATACATTTTCATATGATCTTTTTACACCTCACTAACTTACGTATGGGTGGACCTAAGTAATTATTAAGCAGACAAGAAGGCTATAAATCAAATAGGACTGGCTATAAATCAACTGATGTCATTCAAAATGTGTGAGACTGTAAACAACTTTTACAACAATCTTCATTGAAGAATGAGGATGTTTGACAGTAACAATGCAGGCTAATGGCTGCCATGGAAGAAAGATGAAGAAAAATAAATTATGCTAAAAGTTTAATTTTGAATATAATATCCCTTTGAATTTCTTTTTTGACAATACACACTTTAAAAAAATCTTTAAATGTTCTGTGAAAGTTCCAAATACTATAATAGCTATATAAATGTTTAAAAAACAAACACATTTTATTTTGTTTTCTTGGACATGTGAACGTTAGAAGAAAGGACAAGCACAAATTACAGACAACATTAAGGGAACATTAAGGTATTCTGTTTGATAGTTATCTTTTAAGCTTCATATCACAGAGCGGATGGAAAAGATTTTAAATATAACCCTTCTATTGCTTGGAATAATCTACAAAATAATTTTAATCCAACCATACTTCCATCACTGATTGAGTTTAAGGTACTTTTAACAGATTCTGTGCTTTACCCCCAGGTAAATTGTTGTTATTCATGATTGTGTTGTATTGTGTTTGATGTTGTAAATTTTGTATATTTATGTTATTTGTTGCTGCCCTCTTGGCCGGGTCACTGGTGTAAATGAGATTTTTAATCTCAATGAGCTTTTAAACAGGTTAAATAAAGAAATTAACTTTCCATTTTATAATTTTGCAAACGTTATGGGAATGTTCATTCATAACTGCCAGAACATTAGCCAAAGTTCTGAGAACGTTCCCTGTGAGCTGGGTAGAAGGTCCAAAAAAATAAAAAATAAAAACACTTAACTGTTTCTAAACTGTTTCTATTTACAGCTACTTATTTCAGTTATTATGGAAACTTTTGGAAGTCAACAGCTAACAAACTCATTTTAATCATTTTAAAGACTGAAAGGAAAAGTGCAATGTAGTGAACTTTTTTTTCTCCATGATGAGAGAGTTAGAGAATGATTGAGTAAAGTAATGCTGAGAGTTTAGAATGCAAAAAGATCTTTCAAGCACAAATTCGAAAGTAATTACCGAAGATGAATGAAGCCAATAAATGTGATCACGAGTGAATGTTTCACCAGAATGTAGTTTTTAATCAGTGGACGAACTGATGAAAGTGACACACCCATCACTGGTGAGCAGTGAAGAGTACTAAAGGCGAGAATGAAGCCAACTCATCATTCCTGCATAAATAATCAAGTCAAAGAGGTACAGTAAAACCGGAGCTAACTGTATCTGATATTTCTCATATCAAATTAAATTAACTTATAGTGAAATTAAATTCTGTTAGCAGTAATCGTTTCTGTTTTTAATGGTTTATTGTTTGATTTAGATGATTGTCTTGCTGGTAACTTGCCTTGCTGCTCTTCTGTGTCCCACCGTCCACAGTGCGGACGCTTCAGTGCGTGAGTATAACTGAAGTTTATCGTCATTTACTCAGTGAATATAGAGTTTTATATTTAATGACTCTGTTAAAGTAGCCACTAAAGGCTCTTGAAACTTTTTTGATAGAAAATTCAGCCATTTCATTTGTTATGTTTGTTAATACTCTAAACAGAATGGTGCTATCACAAGCCAACATGCAGTAAGTGTGATTTATTTATTATATAATAAAATATTCCAAATTTGCATAAAACTTAATATAAATCTTATTATAAATGTTAAATATTAATATATTAAAAACTTGTTCTGAAGTGGATTTTTTCGTCTCCTGATCTGTAATAGATTTTACCACCTGGCCAAAGATTGCCCCACAATTTTGCAATGGATCCAAGCAATCTCCCATTAATATTGTGACTGCAAGTGTTCAGGGCAATCCTAACCTGACCTCGTTCAACTTCACTGGTTTTGATGACAACTCCACCTTCCGGGATATCAAAAACACAGGCGAATCCGGTACGCATTACTGATCAAAGG